CGTCCTGCTTGCGACGTAGCTTTTACCTGAGCAGCCCTTCACCCGTTTAAGTAGACCAAGGGCAGAATCTATCCGCCGGTCAGCGGCAGATGGTGGCCATCGCGCGTGCCGTTTTGCGCAGCTCCAAGATGGTGGTGCTGGATGAAGCCACCGCGGCGAGACGACATTCAGTTGCTTTCCTTCTGCCTATTTTGGTGGACTTGAGGGCAGTCACTGTTCCTTCGATGTGTTCCGGCCCTCGTTGCCGTGTCATCTTGGTCTCCAGATGCTAGCTCTTGAAGATTTACGAATCGATGCAAGAATGTTGGCGGTTGTGGCCGTGGAACTTCGTAAATACACTCTGCGCAGTTAGGGAGGGTCTTCCAACAGCAGCCCCTGCTGAGGCGGCTGTTGATGCTTCCACGGATGAAGCTCTCCAGTGCCAGGGCTAGCGTTAGTTTTTTTTTCTATCCCTCTTCCCTGGCCTGAAGCGCAAAGCCCTGAACTTTCGTGCTGTACCCTAGGGGCACCGTTGGACGAAAGCGATCTGCCAAGCTTAGCTGCAGGAGCACACCTGTGCACAGCAAACGTCTGCTGATCTGCGTATTTGGCAGTCTTTCTGTGATAGCGTGCCCAGGAAAGCCATCCGCCGGTGCTTTACGGGTGCTTCATCCCTCACGATTGCACACCGTACCTGGGATTTGCAACAGGTGAAGCGGGCAAGGGGAGAGGTTTGGAACCTTGGGTCGGTGTATTTGCGAGCTCCGAAGGAGGACAGGTTCGTCTTTTTGAAGTTTCAGGTTATCACGAAAGTGGCATGCGGAACATGCAACTTAGAGTACGAAAGTCAACCTGTAGCAGCTCAAACGTCTAGACGCACTGGCCAAGCTTTGTGAAAGCCATGCTGCCTCCTCAGCTTCATCCCACTTGAGTTCAGGGCAGCTGACCCGCACCCTAGCAACTCTGGCTGGGGACCCCTGCCAGAACAAAAGCTGCAGCTCTTCCAGCTGGTAGAACGTAAGGTGTTTTGAGTCGTGGGAAATTGTAAGGTCTGCAGACCATCATCGACTGTGAGCGCGTTCTGGTCCTTGCTGATGGTCAGATTGCTGAGTTTGACTCGCCGAAGGTGCTGCGGGATGCTTTGCTGCATTGCACACGGAGACGGTCAGTCCGTCTAGACATGAGCTTTGCCTTGACGGGGGAAGATATGGCAGTGTACTGTCACTGGAGCTTTGTTTCTGCTACGGGGCTCCAAGTGTGGATGAAGGTAGGTGCACTCCCAAACAAGAGTCTGCATGTAAGGCATCCTTAGTCCAACCTACCTTCATCTCACCTTTTGAGGCCTGCGAATCTGGACCATCGATGAGGGCATATGCGGCAAACGACAGCAAGCATCACCGATCATCATGAACAGAACACCACAACTACAGCTGCGTGCGCGCGAGGGTGTGTGTGTGTGTGTGTGTGTTTGTGTCGAAACCATGTAAAAAATTGATCAGAAGTGGCAGAGGCAAGATCAGCCAGCATCAGCCATCTTAGCACCAGCATCTCCTGTAGTTCGGGTCCTGTCTGTAAGGAGAAAGAGCACGGAGTCTTCCGAAGCATGCTGGACGAAGTGGAGCACGCCTGAGCTGTGTGTTGCCTTTGGGGAGAGTCGGAGAGCCCTCTACAGGAACAGAAGCACGGGGGGTCCAAACCACAGTCTCTGCTGATCTCTGCTCGTCGAGGCACAAGGTCCCGAATCGCAAGCCAAAGTTCGTGGCGGCTGACAGGGCCGCTGATGTAAATATGCTAATGCCAGGCATGTGCTCTGCACGCGCCACGGCCTCTGGCCTTCCGTCGAAGCATCCCAGTGACGTTTTCAAGAGCGGAGCAGCCTGAGTTCGCCGAGAGAATGCCAGAGACCGTACCAGACTCCGCATCCAAAGACTGATGTGTCGAAGTTCCGGAAGTGCTTCCGATGTATCGGGGTGTTTAACACAGACATTTATGCTGTCTGCAACCGCGGCTTGCGTGGAGTGTTGCTCATCCCGGTCATTTCCTTTATCCGGTCGCGCGGCCTCACTGTTTTCAGCTGACGGTCGGCGGCGGAGATTCAGGACAGGCCGAAACACGTCGGCTCGCAATGTCCCGAGGGACATGCGTGTTTTTCCCATAGCTTTCTGAGATCTGGTGCAGGGTGCTGGTACAGACTACCAGGTGACTACCAGGTAGTAGACGGTGATCCAGCCCGGAGAAAATGGAGCGCTGGCTTTTTGGATGCTCGTGTTTAAGCTTGCTCTTGTCTCCAAAACACGATGGAATACTTTCATCCAGCAAGCCTCTTCAAGAACAAGTCGCCATTCATCCCTCCAGCAACCTCAGGCTCTGACTTCTCCATTTCCCCGCCTTGCAGGATACTACCGCTCTCGTCCAGACGGCCGGCCCTAGCATGTTTTCTTGTTTCGAAGTTTCGGTACGCAGCTGGAAGACACTAGCTAGTTTTGAAGCGAAGGTCAATCACCCAAGACCGATACCCTGGTAGTGTACTTATTCTAGGGGCTACGCCCAAGTGCGGGCAGCGCAGGTAGAAGGAAGCTAGGCCACGCACCCGCCCTTGTGTTTTCCCCTCCCCTTGCCCTCTCAGCCCTCGTCTGCAGCCCGCACCCGCCCTCCGCCGAACCCCGCTGATGCTCATGATGCGCGCCCCTTTGGCTTCCCAAACCAATTCAAAACTGGACAAAGCATAGCCAAAGCATCGCCTCCGGCCAAGAGGCAGATTGCGGGTGCCCGAAGGCTCATGATGCTCGCCTGCTGGCCTCCTGGGTCGTTCACGGCGGCCCCGAAACCCGTCATATTGTGGGGAATGGCTGCAAAACGAGTGCGCGTTCCCAGAAGCCTCCGGGCGAGGGCCCGCGCGGCCCGATGGAGAAACGAAGGTCCGATAAAGCAGGGTCGGCGGCACAGGCGGTCGTGGCTTTTGCTTCGCAGAAACTCCCTCCTTCGGCTGAGCCAAGCTCAGACCAACAGGGCAGCGAGCGCTGCCCGATTTAATGGCGGGGGGCGCAGGCATGCATTGGCGGCCTTTAAATCGGGCAGCGCTTCGCTGCCCTGTATGGACTGAGCTATGGCTCAGACGAATGAGCTTCGTCTGCGAAGCAGAAGCCACGACCGACAGTGCCGCCGACCCGCCCCGGACCCCGCATCATCGGACCCTGGTTTCTCCCTTGGGCCGCGCGGGGCCGGGCCCGGAGGCGTCTCGGAACGCGCACGCGCTTCGCAGCCATTCCCCACGGCATGGCGGGTTTCGGGGCCGCCGTGGACGACCCCAGGAGGCGAGCCGGCGAGCATCATGAGCACTCGGGCGCCCGCAACCGGCCCCGCGGCGCGAAGTGATGATTTCCAAGTTTTTGCGTGGGTTGCGGAAGCCCCAAAAGGGCGCGCATCATCAGCATCAGCGGGGTCCGGCGGAGGGCGGATGCGGGCTACATGGAGGGCCGACGAGGGCTAAGAGCGTAAGATCGATCACCCATAAGTTGTGCACTTCGGGCCTACGTCACACTTTTGTTCCGGTGTCGAGCTGTCGTTGTCTCGGCACCGTCTGGAAATTTTGACCGTGTCTTTCCCGTTCCCCCGCTACATCCGCTGACAACAACTCGCGCTGCCCGCACCTGGGCGCAGCCCCTAGAATACTCTCTAAACACCTAAGAAAAGTAGGCGCAAAGCTAGGTGTGAGCATTCAGAACCGTGCAAGCGATGGAAGCGGTGGGGGCGGTATACGCGGTGTGGGCGGTGTCGGTGTGGGTGCGGTGACGGCGGTGGGGGCGCTGTGGGCGGTGTGGGTGGTGAGGGCGCGGGGGGGCGCGGGCATGCATTGGCGGCCTTTAAATACTCTCTACTCTCTAAATTCTAAACACCTAAAAAAGTAGGCGCAAAGCCAGGTGTGAGCATTCAGAATCGTGGAAGTACTCTCTATTCTCTAAACACTTAAAACAGTAGGCGCAAAGCCAAGTGTGAGCATTCAGAACCGTGCAAGCGACGGAAGCGGCGGCGGCGGTGTACGCGGTGTGGGCGGTGTGGGCGGCGGTGGGGGCTGCATGGGCGGCGTAAGCGGCGCGCATTGGCGGCCTTTAACGTTAAATACCGTTGAAACACCTAGAAAATAAGCGCAAAGCCAGGGGTCTGGGCGGTGACGGCGGTGACGACGGTGCGGGCGCTGTGGGCGGTGTGGGTGCGGTGACGGCGGTGGGGGCGCTGTGGGCGGTGTGGGTGGCGAGGGCGTGGGGGGGCGGGCATGCATTGGCGGCCTTTAAATACTCTCTAAACACCTAAAAAAAGTACGCGCAAAGCTAGGTGTGAGCATTCAGAACCGTGGAAGCGATGGAAGCGGTCTGGGCGGTATACGCGGTGTGGGTGCGGTGACGGCGGTGGGGACGCTGTGGGTGTGGGTGGTGAGGGCGCGGGGGGGCGCAGGCATGCATTGGCGGCCTTTAAATGCTCTCTACTCTTTAAACACCTAAAAAAGTAGGCGCAAAGCCAGGTGTGAGCATTCAGAACCCGGGAAGCGACGGAAGCGGTGGGGGCGGTATAATTACACGGTGTAGGCGGTGTGGGCGGCGGTGGGGGCTGCATGGGCGGTGTGGGCGGCGGTGGCGGCGGTATGGGCGGCTGGTGCTGAAGGTCGTGGATGGCACCGCAAGCTTGGTGAGGGCGGTGAGGGAAGTGGCAGCGGTGGCGGCACTGAAGGCCGTGGAAGCGCGAGGGAAAGCAAACACGCATTGGCAGCCTTGAAATACTCTCTATACACCACCAGCAAAAACTGACAGCGGGGCGTGGGGGTAAGGGGAGGTGTGCGAATGGTGGAGGCATTGGAAGTGGTGAAGGTGGTGCAGTGGCCAAACCAAAGCTACCCAAGATACGAAAGAACCTCTCGGGATATCACTGGCGCCGCCCACCAAGGGGGTCGGCGGATTAGGGTTCAGAGTCACAGTAATTGCAAACTTCCAGTACCCGTGCATACTTCCGAGCAGAACCCTTCAGTCATGCCTGCGACAACAACTTCGTGTGGTATCACGATCAATGCGAGGCAACTCCTATAGGTTTATACATCACGAACGTTGATGTGTTTCAGGCTTTGCTGCTGTTGCGTTGGGACCTGATGACAAAGACAATGCCAGGGTTCTGCGATGTCTTCTGCACGCGAAATGAGACCTGCTCCAACTTCGGAGACTGCACAGAGCCGACGGCCCAAACACACAAGGATATGAGATATGCATGTTTGTATAAGTATGTGCAGACATGCCTGCATGTATACATACGCATACATTCTCACACATCCTGCTGTTTGTTTCCATGCCTGCATCCAAAACCAAGTGCTGCACGCCAATTGGATCTACAATCTACATGTTCATAGAGACAGCCAAGCCAGTTTAGGGGGCATATGGCACTGTTGCCCAGCTAAGGCGCGGTGAGTGTCAGTGCGACTTGTGGTACTTCGGGGACAGCTGTGACTGCACGTGCAACAGCTGCATCCTCAGCCCAGCAGCAGCGACGTCCCACGGTTCTCTCGAAGGGCATCGGATGTTTGCGGTCGAACTTCGCACCGAGGCAGGGGCATCTGCGTTGACGGAGCTTGCCGCTGTGATGTTCGATGGGATGGCGACTTTTGTGTCGCGGGCTCATCCGACAGCCTGCATTGGGTTCAATTCCGACAGGAACGAACTGTTGCATAGTTCTCGGCTACAGGAGACGCCGGGCATCAACATCTCAGCTGCCTTGGACGAGTGCACGAATTGCAGCGCTCGGGGCATCTGTGTCGAGGGTGCGGTCCACAGTTACCAGGATCAAGACCTCAAGCTCTGCTGCCAGGTGTGTGTGTGTGTGTGTGTGACAACCCTGTATCCAAGGGCCTTCTCCTCACGCTCTGCAGCCGTTTCCTACTTGCGCTTTACATATAACCGAACTTGAGTACAGAGTACACAGCAGGGGGGCAGCGAGCATTTCTGGATTGCGCTGCCTAACAAAGACCGTCCAGATTTGCCGTGATATGAAGAAGGGACGCCTTCTTCACGTACCTGCACAATTGTTTGTGACATCCTGGTCTTCGCGGTATATGGTTCGTCATCGTATTGGTGCATATTCCTTGTCTGGATGGCCTGGGGCTAAGCCGAGGACCCCGCACAGAACCTTGTCAGTGCGAGTGAAGCCATTCTTCAGTGCGAGCGTTTGCAATCGTCGGTCCTGGTCTTGTCCTTCGGCACGTTGGGGTTCAGGCTGGCGTTGTGGTTTAGCCAGGCAGGTTGAGGTGTCAGCTACAGACTTTCCGCACTTCCTCTTTGCAGCTGTTGTCCATGAAGCTACCTGTCCAAAGTCTCTGATGTGTGGTCGCTTGAGACCTGGACATCAGGTGGTCCGTCGCATACCGAAACCTTCCTTAGCATTCAGTGTGTAGTCCTCCGGGACGGTGGTGTATGCCTCGGTGCTGCACTCAGATCCTCCAAGTTCGGAGGCGCCAAATTCAGTGTCAGCGCTTAGATCAGTTCAATGAGGAGAGCAGTGAAGCCACACGGCCTAACCGCCTCTTATGGCACCCACAAATTCGGCTCCATGCCTACCAAAACGCGATTGCAGCCAAAGCAGCTTCAAGCACTCACACCCAAGGACTCAGGCAGGAAGAGTTTTGACCGTAACGTTCTAGTGGTTTTTTCCCTGTAGTAGTTGCTGTTGTAGGCTGTGCATTGCTTTTCTGCATTCGCCATGCTTCCTCGTCCCCGTCCGTCCTGTGCACCTGGACTCCGGACGACTGCACCCTCTCGCTCACGATCTCGGCCACGCCCGAGGTCTGCGTCCTCATCGTCTTCCTCTTCCTCTTCGTCGTCAACGCCGGCGGCACCTACGACCCGGACTGCGGCACCTCAACGTTCTACTTTATCGGGCCGAATCGCTGACCCCTTGCAGCCTCCACGACCTATCGATATGGCAGCTCCAAGCACTCTTCCTGATCTTTCTCCCCTACCTGCGAGCCCGTTTTGGCCTGGTCTACCTCCTACTGGCTCAACCCCGCTTTCCTCCAGCAACGACCAGTCGGTGCCTGCCAATGCCTCTGTTCCTACCTCGCTGCCGGATCCGTCTACCACCCCTACGGCATCCTTGACGTCTCCACCTACAGCATCTTCGACCTCAGCAGCTCCCGTCAGCTCCGCTTGCACGTTGGCAACCTTACGCCAGTGTTTGGCCACGGCAGGGCAACTTGACACCTATTTACAATCCGATTACTCCACACGGCTGGGCTCCCTCAAGGCGGTGCACTGGGATCGAGTGTATACTGCATTGCTGCAACACAGGCCCTACTTCAAAGCGCTCCCTCATCGCCGGCAATGTCAACGGGAGTTACTTTTGGAGGGACGCCACTTTGAAGTGCCTTTTACCCTAGCGGATCCGATCCTCACAGTGATGCATCTGTTGGTACATGCCGGATACCATCCTCACAGTGTCCAGTTCAAGTTTACGCACGTCGAGGCCCCCCAACATCAACCAGACCAAGCAGGCAGACCGATGCTCATGGTCTCACTTCCCTTCCCGGCGGCGGCACAGCGCATTAGCGGGGCACCTGCCGTCGCGTATTTCGGTCACAACACTGACCTTCAGGCGGCCTTTGGCATCCTTAAAGAAGGCTGCATCCGCCCCAGCAATTTTGACCCCCTTGACGCCTCTTGGCTACCGAGTCCTGCCTTTTACTCTCGCGCTTCTGTCCACAGTCTCAGCGGAGCCTTACGGGCTGCAGCCAAGTTCGGAGGATGGGGCTCTCCCCGTCCGATTTGTGTATATGGCCGAATCCCCATTTGCTATCTCGACATAGCCAATGCCGCGCCTGCCGACACACCGTCTTCAGTGCTCCCCAACACTCCCGCGGCCTATCACCTGAAGAGCGACAGTGGGGGCACCGTCCCCGAAAACGCGGCGAACTACTTCGTCTCCATCCTACACGGCAACGACAACCGTTGGGGCGTGCACTCCACGCTTGCACAACCAGAAGGCATTGCCGTGTTCATGTGAGAGGACCTATAAAATGTGTGCGTGACTTGAGGTGCAGTATTGCTGGTCTCTTTGTTGCTGCAGCTTTATTCTCTTTATTCCGCAGCCGTTTTGCTGAAACCTTTACAGCACAACATGGCCTCCTCCGCCTTCACTTCCGAATATTTGCAGCTGTTCTTGGTGTTTTTCGAGTCGCTGTCTGACAACCAACTGCTCCAGGTACGTGACGTATTGCTACGAGCCCATCAGAATCGACCGACTTTGACCCCTTTGACTCCGGTGACTACGACATCTACTCCACCGCCTCCGGATGGTCCTCCACCTGCCACAGTACCGGTCACCTCCAGTGACCCAGGCCCTTATTCTGGTCAAGCCGCCTATGACTCTCCCGGACCTCAGGCACTTCCTGGCGGCAGTTTCCTCCTTATGCGGATCCCTCCCAGCGCCAGACCCTACCACGACTTCGGAGACGAGATCGCGACCGCCCTCGAGATGAAGAACGTTCTCGCGCTGACGACCGGGATCGTGATCGTCATCGCCGTCGACGTCGTTCGGTATCACCACTTCCTCCTGACTCCGGGACATTCTGATTCCATCCCGGTCGGCCACACAGTTCCACCTCCGGCTGTCTCCAAGCACACCGGACGACCTCTTGCACCGAAGGTGGATGCCGATGGCACTTTGACTTATGTCCAGGTCAAGGCGCGACCGCAACTTCCTCCCCCACACACCACAACGGCGACCACCGGCAGATCCCGTAGTCGGCGTCGCCGCCGCGACCGTGCTGACCGAGACCGTGATGATCGTGATGATCATGACCGTTCCCGAGGAGCACGTGATGTTCCCCATCGCGATCGTGACCGTGATCGACATCGGCGTGATCTGAGGTCCACTGACGCCACCAGCGGAGACCAGCAGCGTCCACCCCTGACCTTGTACTCAGTCGCCCGGAACTGAGCAAAACATGTGCCACCGCCGACTCTGCTCCTCCTTCCTTGGATGTTCCGCAGCCATTTACTACATTACTCCACAGTCCTGCCCTTCCCTGGTGCCATACATGTCTCTCCGACGCTCTGCTCCTCTTTCGTCCTCTGCCTCCTCTTCCTGCTCGACCCTGTCGTCATCCACTTCGGCAACTGTCTTGGAGTACTTGGACGTATTGACTGATCCTTTCGTTCTCTTCCGGGTGTTCTTACCACTCTTGGAGCTTCGTCTACGCACTGCTCTAGTCCCTCCGGACTCGATGATGGACACTGCTTCTGCCCGTGCACCTGCCCCGGACTCCACTTTACGGTGCCTCTTTCCCATTGCTGAACTACATGGCCAGGCTCTGGCGTTCCGTACGGAACGCGACTATCACCTTCACTATGCCCTCGCCGAGATCACATTCCATCCCGGTGTCGTTGCTTCTTTGATGATGACATGCTCGCGAGCATATTACGCAGTACGAGCCCTTCTTCGTGATCGTGGACTTCAATATGCATTCTACGTGGAACGCACACCCGATCTTCCACGGTCGCATTCTTCTCGACCGTGCCTCTCCATCTTCCATCCGTTTTGTCCACAACAAGTCCGCGGCATGGCGCTACACCGTGGAATTCAGCGTTGGGTCTTCATTCCTTCCAGCTACCAGGAGTTGCCTCTGATCCGACTCGGACGTTTCTCATGATGCGCGCTCAGGACCTGGACAAAGGGACTATTTGCTGCTGCAGCAGTTCTTAAGCGAGCTCACTTCCCGCAGCCGTTTTATATTTTGGCTCCTTTCGCCTGCTTCCTCACACCTCCTCCCCTTCTTCCTCCTCCTTATGCCCCCACACCGCTCTCGCACTCCACCTTCCCGACGACATCGTCTACCTGGACGTGATGAACCTTCTCGAAACGATCCTTATTCGTCCCAGCGGAACATGACGACGCAACCTCCCATGTCGGGGTCTTTTCGGGACGATCGAGCACACAGCCGTTTGTCTCCTCCTCGGTCCCGACGACATCGAAGCCGAACCCCGGTGTCCAACACGCCGGAACATCACCGCCACCACCGCCGTGACACTTCGATCAGGCAACATCGACATCGAGATCCTGATGCTGATTCTCCCCCACGACGTCGCCTACACTATTCCTCGCCACGGCCATCGTCTCGACGACATCCTCCTCCTTCCGACTCTGACCGACGGGTACCACACTCTGACAGCCGGGTGCACTCCGCTCCTCCACCTCATGATGATCCTTCCCACTATTCTTCCTCCGGTGCACCTCCTGCTCGACGTGAACCTCGCCGTGATCGCCGAGAACATCCTTCCGCTCGAGATCACCGCCTACTCCAGGAACGATACGAAGACATCCATCCGCTCGGCGCCAACTGGGAAACCACCGACTTCTTCCTTGACGCGAACCCAGACCGCGGTTTCCCTTTACCGCGCAATGTCGTAGACACCGCCTTTACCAGGCGTCTCGGCATCGCCGAAATGCCTATTCATCTCGTACCTGTTGTGTCGCTCACCCCGAATGCGGGGCAAGCATGGATCGTCCGCCTGCTGGCTGCTGGCCGCCCTCTTGTGATCGAAATTTTCAGGACGCGACAGGAAGCGCTTTTGGCTTCGTTCATTATTCGGACGCTCCGCAAGTCATCGGACCAATACGACATCTCTGATGTCCTTAAACAATTACACGACAACCACACCGTTGCTACCGAAGGCCCACGCGACCTTACCATATGGGCGTATCGTGCTCAGCTCTTGCAACACGTGGCGGACAAGGTTGCTGCGACTATTAATGATCTACTACCCCACG